GGCAATAATAAAAATAATTACGATCTAGATCTGGTTTTTTTTAATTAAAAAATCACAATGGACCCCATAGTTTTCTTGTTGGCTTTGACTGTGATAATTCAGTAACCAGAGGATATTTTCAAAGAAAAATGTTACAATTTTTTTAAAACTAAATCTAGATTAATGCCAATGGAGGGAGAGTTGTATATGGATAAGTTGTGTGAAGTGCGTTTTGATAAGAAAAAGAAGTTAGGTTATATGGTCACATCACATTGGACCAACATTGAATTTTTGTGTGTGGTGGTGGTAGACTTCAACTTCTGTTTTCTTTCTTTCTTGTGTGACTTTTTTACTAAAAACTTTTCTTGTTCTTATTTGCAGGTTCTTGTAACCTCTGACTTGGATTTTCATGTCAAGAGATTGCAAAGGAAAAAGGTGCCTCATTCTTGAATCTATTTACCACTCTTGTTGACTGATTTGCTTTGGGTTCTTGAGTTGTTTGCTCATCTTCTTTTGCTTAGTTTGAGGAAATTAACTTTGACTGTGTTTTTTTCTTATGAACAGGACATTGCATCACTTAGATCAGCATTCAGTGAGCAAGGCATCGAGGACAAGAACTTGAAGAGAAGGAAGGTGAACACACACAGATTTATAGTTTGCTCTACTTCTTGTTTTTGCCCTTTGTGTTGATTCTTTTTTTATGTTCAGATGGATTCCAAGATTCATATCCAGAATGAGAATTGCAAGGCGGATGGCAATTTCCTGCTACCTGATTTGAACATAATGCCATGTGAGGAAAATGTTGACAACTACTCGTATTTGGGTGGTGTGGAAACAACAATATATGAGATGAGAATACTGAGGTGAAGGAACTCATTGGAACAAAGTGGTTTGAGAATCTGGTTCGATCAGAATGAGGTGTTCTGATTTGATCATCTTTGGCTCGGGTTTTGCAGCGCGCACAGGAGCTCGAAAAGGCAAAAGAGAGATCTTTCTGCTTAGAAAATCCTTAAAGGAAGTATCTCCATTGCGAGTTGGTTTCTATAAAGATCATAAGCAATGTATAAGATAGAGAAAAACAAAGAGAAGAATATAATTTTGTTATGTTTTCTTTTTTGTAGCAGAAACATAAAGAGCCATTTGTATTGTTTGTCTATATTAGCACAAGGGGCAAAAGAGTGTTCGTGCTAATTATTAGGAGATGAAAACAAAAACAAGTATGTCACTGTTATTACTTATTAGTTAGAGACTAAATGCTTTTTATTAAAAGAAAAGAATAAAAAGTATAAAGCACACCCAAATATATGTCCTCTACAACATCGGATTGGCCTGCTCATAGAGAGAGTCGGTCCTACTTGGTTTAGATTTGAAAACTGAAAAATAGCAAACCCAAAAATATGTCCAAAATCGAATACTAAAATTCTTATTTTTAGCCCACAAAAGAAAAGCCTGATATATATGTAAATGGGCTTTGATGCAATCTGTTGCAGTTTTTTATGGGCTCCCTAAATATGTATAAGGAGGCACCATTACGGTATTAGTATAGTTATCCTCAATATTAATTGAGTAGACACTAAAGTGAAAATCTTATGTGTCTCAATGAGAGTTTCAAAAAACATGTCATTCAAATTAACCAATAAAAACATGTCAATTAATTCTACATATTCTTATTAATTTTATAACATAAACTCATTAATACATGTTTTGCAAGTCCAATTAAATGTAATTTTTAGATTTACCATATCATCTATTTTTAAAACTTCTTTTATATTTTAAAAACTTTT